GGGATTGGAAAGTTTCGTGATGAATTCCATTGAATACCATTGATTCCGTTAACGAAATGAATACCATTGAACGCCAAACTAGGAATTAAAAATTTCCGTATTGAATTCCATTGAATTCCGTCTATTCTGACAATAAAATGAATACCATTGAATGCCAGGATAGGGATTGAAAAGTGTCCGTGTTGAACTCTGTGGCGGTACGCGCCAACAATAGTACACCCCGCGCGGTATCTGCATTACCGGCAATTCGCGTCGACGCCGCTAGGCGTTGCATCGCCGGGGCATCTTCTCGAGTTCAAAGTTTTGTCTCGACCGCTATGTAAAGGGACCCCCTACGGTGCCTGACAGATCTTACAAATCTCATTTTCGGGCTAATTGCCCGTCGGCAGTAGTGCGTGTAATGCTCATAGACATACACAAAAGCTCCGACGAACAACGGCGCTTGGTCGCCCAACGGAGGCGCGAGACGTTTCCTAAACCATCTAATGCCATGTAATTCCATAACTTTTACGGATTCCATAGGATTGGATGGAATTAAAAATTTTTTTGGATTCCATGGGATTGGACCATCTCATTTCGAATCCCATCTAATTCCATCTAATTCCGCCAAAAAAGGGATTCAAAGATATTAAAAAATTTTAATATCTTTTAATTCTTTTGCGTTTGCTGGGACATTAAAGGTTAACACCCTGCTGTTAACACCAAACCAACATCCAACGATGAGGCTTAATCCCCAACCTACACGTATCATTGAGAATAAACTCTCAATATACACTCATCATTGAGAATTAAACCCACAACTTACCTAAACCTTAATAGTCAACACTCAATCTACACCTAAAAAGTGTTGACACTTAACTTTGATGACAAACACTAAACTTACGCCCAAATTTGAGAGTTAACACTCAAATTTTAGTGTTAACCATCAAAGTTGAGTGTACTTTTTTATAAGGGTATAGAGTGTATCATGGACATAAAACGTGAACTGTTGAAAGACTTTGAGATCGTGGATCTCGGACTTGCAAATTATTGTCTTGGTCTAGAAATTGATCAAGGTGAAGGTCAAATTGTACTCTCCCCAGACAGGCTATATCCTGGGATTGCTCAAGCAGTACGGGATGGACCAGTGTAACCCGGTTGTGATACCCTCGGAGGTGAGTGCGCGCTTTAACGACGCGAATGAGGACGGTCCGCAAGAAAATTGTCCGTATCGCGAGTTGATTGGTGCCCTCATGTATTTGTCGGTGGCCACGCGTCTAGACATTGCGAATACCGTATCGTGATTAGCGCAGTTTACTTGGACTTGGTTTTGACCTAGGGAGGACTCATGCGAGTGACGTGCGTCTTGAGAGGACGTGTTGGATGATTCTCAGATATAACAATACGCACATCTCAGTGGTAGCGTTGCATGATATGAGCGGCCTTCTATATCGTATATATATACACTCAAAGGAGTCATGCGTGACTTGCGTCTAACCGTCCAGCAGATGCTCTCTGTGTCACGCTGAGTTTGTATCGCTCGTTCGCTTATAATAAAAGTTCGTCTCCCTAATAAGAGATTCTCGTTCCTTCTATCCTTATCATACTGTAATTACTTAAGAGTTTGCTATATTACATTGCCTGGAGATAGTGTATCGTATATCGAAGAAAACATTTCTCTGAGTTTTATATATATATTTAACATTTTAATATAGAAACTAATTAAGTCAAACACTTCTTTGTAGGTGCAAAAACACTATAATCAATTTTTATAAAATATTATTATTATTATTATTATTGCATAGGGGAGACCGGGGCTGGTTGTGACATTTTTTCTATAAAGTGTCTCAACTCTTTGATTATATTGTTCTTATAAATGAATCTAGGCTTGCTAGATTCAGTAACTAATCGGGATTTAAATTTAATAATAATTTTATCTAACCGCTCATTAGAAATTATATAAATTAAAAAATTCTGAAAAAAGAGACATGTAACTTTTTATCCCACACCAGGGGCTGGTTGTTACAACACACGGGGTAAATTGTTTTAATTTTAAGATTAAATATTAAAACACAAATATTTGTAAAGTTTATAAAAGTAAGGTTTATTGTAAACAGAAGAAATTAGAGAGTATATACCACAACATACACATTTCTGCTTATTTAGATAACAAGTGCTAGACCAATAGACAAACCTGCGTTTTTGACGGCTGCTTGTCCGGGCTCCTCTCACAAGAACGCCAGCGCCACTAGCTCGCGCGGTATGTCTTCCGACACTGGCGTGATCATTTTCTCTTTCTAACGTTACTATAGCGTTTTCGGTTTAGCTACCGTTGGCACTGTAACAACCTACCCGTGCAACAACCAGCCCCAGTCTCCCCTATTGTAGTAATTGTGTTTTATCTATTAGTGCTGGGCGTGGATTACAAAAATTGTTTAAAAAATAGCTAATCACCGAAACTCTTTTTAGAACTAATTCTAAAGCATAGAACTCTGCTAGAACTACCGAGAACTATCTTTAGAACCGCAGAAAATCATCAGCACGACACATATTCACTAAGCGTCGTGCTGGACGTAACTGCTAAAATTGTTTAAAAAATAATAAACAGTCGGAACTGTTTGTAAAAATAATTCTGAAGCGTAGAACTCTGCTAAAACTACCGAGAACTGCCTTTAGAACGGCAGAAAATCATCAGCACGACACATCTTCACTAAGTGTCGTGCTGGACGTAACTGTTAAAATTGTTTAAAAAATTGTTAATCATCGGAACTTTCTTTACAACTAATTCTAAAGCACAGAACTCTTTTAGAACTGTCGGAAATAATCGTTAAACCGCGGAAAATCTTCAGCACGACACTTGTCATTAAGCGTCACGCTGGGCGCGGATATAAAAAATTGTTAAAAATTATTAATTGGTGGAATATCGATCTGAAATTGTATATATGTGTGGAATTCGATTAGAACTTTCGGGAACTCTTGTCAAAATTGATAATATTCAACGCGTTTTGGTACTTTAGAGGAAAAGTGTCGTGCTAGATTCGCGAAGTTAGCACGACATTATTTCAATTTCGATTTTTTAATATAAGGAATGCGGAACTCTTTTTAATTTTTATCAGGAACTGTAGAACTATGAAAAGTGCTACCAGAACTTTTATAATTTTTTTGAAATTTGTAGAATGTCGTGCCAACTTCACAGATCCAATTTCAATTCCATCCAATCCTATGGAATCCGTAAAGGTTATGAAATTGCATGGCATTAGATGGTTTAGAAAACGTCTCGCGCCTCCGTTGTTCGTCGGTGAGCTTTTGTGTATGCCTAAGGGCATTACACGCACTACTGCCGACGGGCAATTAGCCCGAAAATGAGATTTGTAAGATCTGTCAGGCACCGTAGGAGGTCCCTTTACATAGCGGTCGAGACGAAACTTTGAACTCGAGAAGATGCCCCAGCGATGCGACGCCTAGCAGCGTCGACGCGAACTGCCGGTAATGCAGATACCGCGCGGGCGTGTACTATTGGTGGCGCGTACCGCCACAGAGTTCAACACGGACACTTTTTAATCCCTATCCTGGCATTCAATGGTATTCATTTTATTGTCAGAATAGACGGAATTCAATGGAATTCAATACGGAAATTTTTAATTCCTAGTTTGGCATTCAATGCGGTAGTTACTAAACTGATGAATTACAATTAGCCGCCGTGTAGTCATTGCCAGTGACATATATCTCCTTTTGGCAAATTTATTTTATTTCTTTCTGCTTAATTATTTCCTTCTTCCTCGTTAGAGGCAATTAGAGCTAGGTTAGGTTAGACAAGCATCGATCTTTCTCGGTGATTTTTAGCGTAGCATGAAAAAGCAGTTTTGTATGGGAAAGGGCATTATAAGAACATATAATTATATACAAAATGTCCGTATATGGTTTTTCTCTTGCATAATCTGTTATTCTTATATTCAAGAAAAATAATAAGAAAAAGAGTTACAAAATAATTAAAAGGAAATTTTTACATAATTTTTTTATAAAAAGTATAAAGGTTTTAGGAAATAAGAAAAATTGTTCTATTAAAATATGATTACGTATAAAATATTGTATATAAATCTAATCGCAATTTTAATTTTTGTAAAAAAATTGCAGTTATTTCTTAAATTATTTCTTAATTGATCGCCTTATTATTTTTCTATATATACAGACGCAGAATATACAAGAGAAAAAAGCATATGCTGGATATTTTTATTTATTATTATATATATTCATATATACATATATATATAATTTTTATCAGGTTTGATAAAAAATATAATAATAAATGTTATCATAAAATATAAAGAATTATTTGCGCAGTAAGATTTAAAAGTTCTCAAAAAGCAATAAAAGTTCTATTATTATACTCGCATCCACCATATTGGAAATCCGCCATGTTGAACTCTTACAATTAATTATGTTTTGGTCTCATCTTCTAGACTTTAAAATTTTTTTAAAACAATACTTTTTTTTCAAAAAAGTTAATTATTTTTCAAGCAATACCTGCAACATTTCGTTAATACGGATATAATTATTAATAGTTTGTTATCAAAGGAAGATTAGAAATAATTTCGGAACGATTCGTAAAGTCAGAACTTTGCTGCGGGCAGAATATTCTACCGGTTGAGTAAATAATCGATATAAAAGTTTGTCGAGTCTCGAGATCTCGAGAGACAGTTACGTTGTCAATTCTGGACAACTTCGTTCGGCCAGAAACTCTTCCATTGGTGTTTCCCACGAGCGAAGTCTCCTACCAGCTACTGGTCGGCAAGGGTGCATCTCGTGCGTCATACCACTGGCTTATCGCTCCGGCCGGCGCGGCGGCGGGTTGGCGTACGTGACAAACACCGAAAATTCGAATCTCGCACGCGTCTGGCAGACGGCGCTCCGGTCGCCGCGACCTAATCAGAAACTTGCACAAGTCGTGAGACTGCTCTGGAACGCCACCTCGCCGTGCACGTACGGACGACGCGCGGTCGCGCGGCTCACGGCTCACGGGCTTCTCACAGCATCGACGACGGTTCGTGTAGGACGACGGCGGTGCGCGGTGTTGTTTGTTTGTGTTCGCGTGTGTCATCGAGAATACATCCACGGTACTGACGACAGGATTTTCGGCGGACGATGGTCCTGATACAGGAGAGGTGATCCCCGGGCGTGTCTGTCGTGTAAGTACCGCGCGTCCCCCCGCGTCGCGAGTCCGGCCAGCGAGCGACGGCGCCGCTCTCGGCCACTCCGCGGTTTATCTCGCCGATGAAGCTCGCTCTCTCTCTCTCTCTCTCGCACGCGCGCGAGCATGCCCCTCCGCGTCCTTCAGGGCACGCATGCACGCACGCATCGGACGGCCGAGAGAAAGAGGAAAACAATCGTCCGCACGCGACCGAAACGGGTTCCGTCCGTCGCGCGGAGAAGCTTCCCACCCGAGGGAGTCCTGGCAACAATAGATAACTACCATTTTGTTTATAAACTCCTTCCACCACCACTACCACCAGCGTCAGCCAGTGCATTCCCTTCCTTCGCCCCCTCTTCCGCATGCTTCGGAAAAGCCTCGTACCTCGTGCTTATGGCTTCCTGTTCCGGAGCACGCCGTCGGAAGGGTCGCGTTTTTTTTTGTGTTTTTAATTTTTTTTTCCCTACCCTCTCCGTCGGCTCTTACCTCACCGTTTCGTGCACCAGCTCGTTTCCTCCCCGCGTCTCGCTCGCCTCTTATGCAGCCGCTGTTTGTTTACGCGTAAGTCGCATCGCACATGGAATCTTTTAGCACGTGCCGGAGAAAGTATCACGTGAAGATTGAATGAGATACAACGTGAATAAGGTTTATGCATTGTACGTTGTAACGCGAACGTTTGTATACTCGACACCCCGTGACACTCGCCGCAGTCAATCGGGCCGAAAAATTTCATCAGCATTGAAACAGCGTGCAAGTGGTGATTTAACATCGCTCTTGATATCGTGGGGCGCTTACCCCGTGCCCTTATAGGGAGTGCAACAAAATGGTTGTTTTGCTGATGCAATTGATTGTCGAAGTTATTTCTTTAATGTATCGTGATTTTCTAACGCGTCGTAATAGAGGAATGCACGCATAATATTCTTACGGGGGGCGCGTGTATTCTTTTACATTAAATTAAAGTTGTCGTCTTTTATGTAATATTAAAATTATTATTTTTTAAAATACATTTCTGAAATTTTTAAAGGCAATTTCGCGATAAATTGATTTAAATCGTCGACAAATTGGTAAATGCAACGTGTATATTATTTTCTTCTTGAAATATTCGTTTTTTTAAATGTATTTTTTAGCGTAAGAGCGGAATTTGTTTAAAATACATGTCGCTTATGCTTCGTTTTTTTTTTCCACACATAATTGAATATCAAGAATTTGTAGTTAGATCTTTTTTGTAAAAAACACATGGTTAATATAATGTGCAAAATTTCAATGTTATCAATTGCATCGCCATAATTTTGTTATATAATTGATGAAAAATGTTTCGTCATCTTGAGAGAAGGAACAAAGAGTCGTTATTCTTAATGGTCTCTACATATTTATCTAGATATCTATCTATCTTTGAAATCTAGAAACAGATATCTATCTCGATAAATAGATATTTAGATTTCCTTTGCTTTTACCATCCCCCTCTCCGATTGTTTTCTTGTAAGCCTTAAGCACAAAGTGCAAAATCATGTTATCACAGCAACGTTACATATGTAAATGATTACGCTCATTTTCGATTATATAGACGCCAAACGTATAGCATAAATAATTTTTTTTCCCAAGGGATTTTGACTTTACGCCTCGTAATATACACATAAAATGTGTGAAATAAAAAAAATTATAATTAATATACAAAACGATTAAATTATTAATTGGTTGCAATTAAAAATTAAGTATAATTAATAATTTAAACAGAAAAGTTATACGTATTATATTTTTATTTATGTTTACAATATTATTGTTGAAAATTGAAGATTGTTTATATAGTTACACATTGCATATCAAGTATTTTTTAAATTTTGATTTGCAGGTATAAAAAATTCAACGATGGCTAGTAATTCAAGAGGAATACCCCGTATACAGGTCTTTAGACCGACATACGAGGAGTTTAAAGATTTCACGAAATATGTGGAATATATGGAGAGTCAGGGTGCCCATAAGGCCGGTTTGGCAAAGGTGATACCGCCACCCGAATGGGTCCCGCGGAAGGACTACGACAAGGAGGATCTCGACCATCTCGTCATTCCAGCGCCGATCTGCCAAGTTGTTACTGGAAAACAGGGACTTTATCAACAAATTAATATCCAAAAGAAATCGATGACTGTACAGGAATATAGTAAATTAGCCAATTCCGATCGTTACGCTACTCCACGTCATTTCGATTATGAGGATCTGGAGAGGAAATACTGGAAAAACATAACGTATGTCGCGCCGATATATGGCGCAGATGTGTCCGGTTCCTTAACGGATCCGGACGTGAAAGTGTGGAATATCAATCATCTGGGAACAATTCTGGATTATGTCAACAAGGATTACGGTATATCGATCGATGGCGTCAATACGGCTTACCTGTACTTTGGAATGTGGAAAACTACGTTCGCCTGGCATACGGAGGATATGGATCTTTATTCCATAAATTATTTACATTTTGGTGCACCGAAAACGTGGTACGCTATACCTCCAGAACATGGACGTAGGCTGGAAAGACTGGCCAACGGCTTCTTCCCAACTAACTATCAGAGTTGCCAATCGTTCTTACGCCACAAAATGTCTCTGATATCTCCCCAAATACTAAGGCAATACTCTATCCCATGTAACAAAGTAAGTTTTTTTTTTCTACTTACGTTGATTGCATATTTGAAATTCCTTTCAGTTATCTTTCACAACCTTTCGTATCTTTGTCCTCACAGATAACGCAAGAAGCTGGAGAAATAATGATCACATTTCCATATGGCTACCATGCTGGTTTTAACCATGGATTCAATTGTGCGGAATCCACCAATTTTGCGACACCTAGATGGGTAGAATATGGAAAGAGAGCTACGCAATGTAACTGCAGTAAAGATATGGTCAAAATATCTATGGACACCTTCGTGAAACGTTTTCAACCAGATAGGTGTGTATCTGATATATTTTTTTTAATAATTCAATTTTATAATGTTACTCGCTAAACATGATACATTTACATTTAAATATTTACTATAATTAATTTTCTAATAATGTAGGTATGAATTGTGGCTGAGAGGCGAGGATATTGGTTCCCATCCTGAGGATCCTAGGCAGACTGCCGCACCAATGCCGTCACAAACGGATCTGTTGTGTAGCAGTAGTAGCAATGGTGAATTACCGCAAAGCTACTTGAGTGCAACGCCAAAAAATAAACGACACATGATTCATCACAGGAAGAAGAACATTATGAGCACAAATCCTGGTGTTAACATGGAAGAACTTGTAAATCGTGCGGATATTCCTCCGGATGTTAAAAAGGCGTTACAAGATCTCGAATTTGATGAAGTGGAGGAGGCACCAGATGAGCAACAGTTAGAGGTTCTGGAAGATATTTGGCTCAAAGCAGGAGAAATGGGTAAAACTTTGCACATTTTTATTTTTATTATTACTATTATAAATTTTGTTACTATGTAATTCATATAGTTATTCGTGGTTTTACTGATCATGTACTTTTATTTTAGATATTGAAGAAGCAACTGTATACGATGATGGTTATAATCGCAAGAAAAGCAAGAAAAGAAAGAAAAAACAAAGCGGAGATAAGGAGAAAAAACCAAAAATTGAATCAAAATCTAAGAAGGAAGGCAGCAAATTTACTAATGTACAGGATATCGTTAAAATTGAAGTGAAAAGTGAAACTACTTTTGAATACGTATCCCAGGAAAATATCGAAGAAATTCCTGTGCCTCAAGGAAGTTATAATGACAAAATTATTATAGAAGATGAGCCTGTAGATCCTCTAAAAATAGACATCAGTTCTACAGATGATTTTAGTCCTCCAGAAATTGAAAAATATACCAAAAAGAAAAAGAAGTATTCAAAACACAGCGAACAGAAGAAATTGAAACCGAAACGTGTGTCCAAAAGTAAACGCAAACGCGATAATTTATCGGATCAGATGCCAACTTCGAACGTTTCAGATGCAACTGTGCAATGTAATGCTCCGCTATCTGATTTAAATATATATAATACCAATATGTCTAAAATCTCAGAAAAGTTTAAAATGCCTATAGTTGCGATTAGTAAAGAGCTTAAGCAGAGAGCCACAAATAAAATTAAAACAAATCAGCTAACGAATCTTATATCTAACGACATAAATAACACGGCAAAATCATCGGTCAATACCGCAGAAAGCGGGTCAACTATTTGTTCATCGACAAGCGACAGGAGTGATTCTTCAAAAATGACATTTGCAAATATAAGTTATGTAAAGAGCCCTTGTACCATTGCAAAGGATACTAATTCTGGATGTCAAGATGTAAGTACAAGTAAATACGCTTTGCCCACTCAAATTGAAAAGTCTACAAATGTAAATTATAAAAATATGGGTGCAATATCTGCAGATAATAGATTAACAAAAAGTAATATCCGTAAGGACTTGATAAAAGAACCTCGTTTAAACGTAATACCTAATTTATTGTCTAGAACTTCTAAACCGCCAGTTGAAAATTATACTGAAAATCAACAGACCTTGACCCCGACTATAACAAAGATTATGTTTGATGGGAAAGTATTAATTTCATTGCAGCCCAAGCCCCCAGTTTTGAAGAAGGAAACGGAAGTGCAGTGTACCGAAAACAACAGCTCAGTACAAAGTCCACCATCGTTAGAACCATCGTTAGAATATTTGTACCACCAAGTTCCACCTGATACTACTATTACTCATGTGCCTAAAACAGATTGCCCCATGTTCAATACTCCGATCCAGCCTTTTAACCGTAACATTTTCAAGAGTACGATGGGAATAACACCTTGTACGAACAATGGTTCCCAGGAAGTAAAGAGCTGGTCAAACAATGCGTATTCAAATGTTTCTAATTCAAGGGCAATTCAAGGGCTAAGTGAACAGAACGTTCTTCCTAAATTTGCAAATGCACCCCAACCAAAGATGGATGCAATGTTAATACCGCGATGCTCAACGTATCCCCAAATCGTACTATACGATAACAATTGCGCGCAAAATACTGATGTATTGACAATTAGGAATGTTCCAACAGCACCTGCACCTGCACGCAGTTCAAAACAAACTATGCCAAAAGTTACCAAGAGTCCTCCGCGCCAAAGATCGCAAAAAGGAACGTCACGTAGGAAGCCAGCAGCAAAAAATAATAAGTCGATTAATAACGCATCTTCGATTACTTCTCAAGCAAGTATTACGAGTACTTCCGTTGAAGCTCAACTTGACAATCCAATTGATTCGACGAATTTGTCTGATCCAAACATTCAACCACGAGTTGCAAATATACAAAATGCATTACATGAGAATGAGCATTCACATACGTTTGACAATAAGGCACAGTTACAAGACACACAACAAATAGATAATATTTATTCAAATTCACCCCCGTCTAAATTAAAAATAAATATTTTAAGAAGGTCAATCAAAGAGAGAAAAACAAGAAGAAAACAACAGATGCCTTTCGCTTCTATTGTTCCCGCGCCAATTGCTCCTAAGATCGCTCCTGTAACTATTGCTCCGATCGTTGCTTCTACAACTATTACTCCTGTGGTCGTTGCTCCTGTGGTCGTTGCTTCTGCGGTCGTTGCGCCTGCGGCCGTTGTTCCTGCGGCCGTTGCTCCTGCGGCCGTTGTTCCTGCGGCCATTGCTCCTGCAACTGTTACTCCTGCAACTGTCACATCCATTGCTCTTGTAGATGTTGCTTCTATAGACGATGCTCCTGCGGCTACTACAATGACTGATGCCCCAGCAACTCCTGTGATTGAAGCTACAAAAGATCAATCCACATCAACGCAGTCTGTCGATATACCACAACCCTGCAATCAGCCAACAGCAGTGATACCAGGTCACATTTCTGAGATGATTCATCCGAATATACCAAACAGTGAGCTGCTGAAAGCATTCAACAATTATTGGAGCGCTCAAGTGTCTCATTGTGCAATATGTGCTACTTTTGCCTCGTGTACAAGCGGAAACAGCAGAATGATGCCGCCTGATTGGAAGTATTGCGAATCAACTACGCTACCTGAGAGTACACCTATATGGGTAAGGAAATAATGCTTATAATAACTATTAACTTTTCAGTAAATCTTCTCTTGAATGTATGCGACGAGAGTTGGAAAGATAATTATTGAAAGAATTATTTGTGTCCATCAGGTGTCGGCCAGTATTTTTGCGGCGAACTCTAAGGAACAGGTCATGGAACCAGAGAATAACAAACTTTTACGATGCAGACAATGTCACGTAACCGTTCATGCATCTTGTTATGGTATAACTATATTACCTACGGATATCCGAGGCTGGGCTTGCGACACGTGTAAAGCTGGCAGAAGCGATGTGGTGCGTGTTTAACAGATCTACTTTTTTTTCTGTTTCTACCATCGTCAAACATGCATCTCAATTAAATTCTGCTTTGTTACCGCGAAACTAGATGTGTACCCTGTGTCCGATGTTTGGCGGTCCTCTGAAGCGTACCAGTGACAGCAGATGGGCGCATATCTTATGCACGCTTATGGTGCCAGGAGCCATATTCAAAGATGCCATAAATAAAGAACCTATTAATGTATTGACGACCATGAAGGACTCAATCGGCAAGAACTGTTGTTTCTGTGGGCACAAACATGGAGCGTGCCTGAAGTGTAATCAGTGCAACAACTTGTTTCATCCGTCTTGTGGTCTCGTGGCAGGCGCTACGTTTATTATACCGGTGTATAATTCACAGGAACTTCAGGTATATATTCTCTAATCATGAAATGTGATTCCTAGCAAGTTTGTAAACGTTAATGTCAATGTGTTATAACATTCTAGGTAACGTGTAACGGACACGATGAAGGCAAAGAAAAGATTCCGCAGATACGACAAGGAGAGACAGTCTGGGCAAAGCATCGTAATATCCGATATTATCAAGCCAAAGTAGAGGCTATTCAGGATATCCTCTTTTACATGGTTACATTTAACGATAATAGCTTCAGTGATGATCTGTATCCTTCAGATATAACCGTAAGTTTCAACAGCCTGTTTTTATCATTTTATTAATCCAATCTCTATATAATTGCCAGTTTCTTCAGTGATTAAGGATTAAAGCCTGTTTTAAGATATGCGATATTGTTCGAAACATGCTCTACATATATTTTTGTCCTTATTTAGAACTATGATCCGGGGAACACGCCTCCGCTCGGAGCCGCAGTGAAAGTGAACTGGACAGACGGTCAGACGTATGACGGCGTCTTCGAAGGTACAAATCATCGAATAATGTTTACTGTAAGTAATTTCAATATCTCAGTATAAAGATCAATTTATTTCTTATTGATTATTTAATTATTAATTCACGATTCACACTTTTTCTATCTAGGTGATTTTCGAGGATGGCTCTCAGCTCGTTTTAAAGCGTAACGAAATCTATAGTTTACAAGAAGATATGCCAAAAAGAGTGCGTTCTCGTCTGGTGAGTTTGGTCAGAAATTAATCTCATGACGTAACATTCATGAACGTGGCTTATTCTCTTTGATTATCTTTCTTCTCTTCCTTATTTACGTTATTCTTACGTTTACTTTTCTGTTTCTTTGTTGGTTTATTAAAGTCTGTTGCGACTGAAATGAAGCACCGATCTCATCTTTACGGCACAGAAGATGAAACAGAGGCGCAAAGAAAAGTGAAACAATCGAAAAATTATGATAAATTTGTAACGATTTAATGTAAATAATTATTAAGGGAAGGGAAGGGAAGGGGAAATCCTGTTGTGTAAATAGTAGATATGGAAATTATAATTTATAATCGCGATTATCTTCTCCAACTTGATTTCGAACTGATCGGACGATAGAGAAACTTACTTTTTCTTTATGTTCAATAATTTTTGTTTTAGTTAACCGATGTTTCCAACGATGAAGAGTATAATTATGTATAAACTTTTATGTTAAATTATTAGTTTACAGTATTGTGCCTATGTAATTGTTTGATGTATTCTGTACCGTACATAATCTGGACTATTTAGATTAGTATATATATGTATATGTATATATTCCATCCGGAAGAAATATATATATGTAATATACATGTATGTATAATATATATATATACACATACACATATATGCACTTGTGTACCTAACATTTTAACGGCAACAATGGAAAGTATTGTAGATATCGCTTACGAATCAAAATTTTTTTTGATGATTTTTTATCCCAGATTGATTAAATTGCATAAATAAAAGACGAAAAAAGAAAATTAAAAAAAAAATGGTAAAAAAAATTTATTTAAAATTTCAAAAAATCAATGTTTTAAACTGAACAATCGTGAACTCTCATAATTATATTCTTTTCTGTCTTTTTTTTCTTTTTATCTCTTTGTTTTTAGAAGAAAATTATAATAAAAACGTAAAAAAAAATATTTTAAAATATTAATTTAAAAAAAACGAACAAAATTTATTTAGAATGTAAAATTTTTATGTATCAAATTGAATGTAATTTTGAATTCTCATAATTATGTTCTCTTTTTTTCTTTTCTTTTAAATTTTTTGGTTTGAGAAAAAAGCTACAACATTGTTACTTAATTATTAGTAACTTTCTTATAAATTTCTTACGATACTTTTCATTGATACACCGTTGATTATTGCAATCGAATTATGTGTTGATGATATGTTTCTCAATATCTTGTTCAATATCGTATACTGGAGTATTACTATTGAATAATTATGTTGTCTGTAAATTGAAACGTTCCATATTTTATATGCAAGAGATAATCCATCTTTTATATTTATATCAATTTATGAATCAGAGAAACTATCTGCAAAGAAACCAATACGAGGAACAAACATCAATATGCACATATTTTTTAAGTATATTTATGTAAATCTATTTTACATCGTAGATAATAATGTGATTAGAGATAATTTTGACGATTAGCTGTGTGTATTAGTTTTATTTCGTTTTAAGAATAGATGTTAACTAAACGTAACGTCGTAAATGTATTAAAAATTGTGTGTTCATTAAGATCAGCACTGTACTGAAAGAATTCATCAATTGCTCATGAACACGTTGAGAACAACTTTTGAGCTGTGTGAAAATTTCCACGATTTATTTATTTTCATTAATATCATGATGTTAGAATCTATCCAATTAAGTAGAAATTTACTAAGTTTTGAGAGAAGAAGTAAAGATAATCCTATTATTGCATAAAATATTTAAGATAAGCCACTAAAAGATAGAAGAGGATTCGGAACGAAAACTATACAGAAAATTTTATATCATCTAAGATATTTGTTCGGATTACTTTAATTTACAAGAAATTAATAATAATGTACATAAAATTTACTATAACATAGAGGTACTAAACATGCAGTTTCATATTATATATATACAATATTCTATAGAATAAATTCGATGTAAATTACTTTATCTCCATATAATCAGCAGATGGAAGATTGTATACATTGTCGAGTCTTTCACTAATTTTACTTCTAGTCGCTATTTTTATTCTGTTTTCATATTTAAAGGTACGAGAGCGAAAGAGAAAATTGAATAGTAAGAAGTACAGTATTATCTTCTTTGTAGAAATTGCTGTGATGGCAATATCACTTTTGCGTGTGGTACCTATATTTATGGCACTTGTATAAAAAAAAAGTATAACGAACAACAGAAAATATCCTCCAGAGAATTATTACTATGCAAGAACAAGACTGCAATAATTATCTTTCTTTAGGCGATGCTTACATTTAAGTACGCTTTTTCTAAGTATAGTTAAAATAAATGTAATCCGTATCTTCGCATATTTATCCATTCTGATTAAATTTCAAGTGAGGTATAAAGTATAATTATTTGTAAGATTAAGAGAGTAAATTTGTCAGTTTGTTATTAACTGTTCAAATGCTCTTACTGAAAATAAATTCTATTGTAAACTCTAAGAAGATTTATCGTATGTCGCAAATAAAAAAATTTTGAAACAAACTATGGCACAAGTTGATTCTCACTAGCTTGCGTTGCGCGAACGTGAAGCGAAATGTATCTGTATCATACATTTACATTACGAATGTAAATGTATCATTATACATTGCTGCCCTAAAATGTGCAAGATCAATCAATGTGAAGATCAACCGTGATCTTGAATAAAAATATTTTCGTAATAAATTGCGATGTTTTAATCAAGTATTTGCTAAAGGATAACAATATCTGAATGTAATATTCTGTTAAGAAAATTGCAATTCATCTGTCTTCAAGATCATATTTTTTTAATACGATTAATATTATCTTCGGTAAGTCAGTCAATACATAAGAGGTGAATCTGATGATATGTAATTTTATTACCAACATTTCTTCTTTATGTGCACATATAACATGTCTCACTTTCCTTCAATTATTCATAATTGATAACTTCATTATTATAAGACTATTCCTTCATGTGTTGATTACATCCTCATTGATGTTGCAGACGTTAAAATAAAATATTTAATGTTAGGATTGTAAATTACATTACATAAAAAAATATGTGCTCGTGTATAAATTTTCAAGCCTATTAGTTGGTTAGGTGATGGGATTGTGTCACTTTGGATTATATCGTATTGTATAAGGATTTGGAATAATACATGTACTTAAATGTAGAAATAATACAGATGCAGCATGAAATAAAGAAAATGAGAGTAAATATCAGTTTATACTACTCTTTTGTCATAAAGAGTGACTTAAACAATAATAAATTAGTATAAAAGAAGAACCACTTCCTCTTAGAGAGATTCAACGATTATTTATTTCCGCTTATTTTTTTTTATAAAATACTTTTCTTATATTCTTATATTCTTTCAGAAAGAAGATCGTGTTTCCTATGGTAAGATATTGTGTGCAAATAGAGAGTGCGAAATATTTAGTTAACGAAACCTTCACATATCCATAGATAATACTAAAAACGCGGTTTAAATAAACACTAAAGTTTAAACTAGTATTTTATATTGTTTAGTACATTTTTAGGGCTTTAAATACAATTAGAAACTATAATAGCGGTGCTCAAATGCGCGCTGTGTCATGTAAATATTTGTCCCTTAGTTATCACTCTCACTTATATACATATATTCAGCTTTATATAATTCTTGAATATCACCGCTTTTTGCGAACGAAGTTGCAGGTGGATCATAGCATCTTGTCACGATAACAATTAATACAAAATAATTTCGATTAGTACTTTATTCCGCTAGAGTACTTTTAAAAAGCCTCTGCGACTGGTAGCTTCAAAAGATTCACATGGATGACATCCAGTCTTCTCTCGATCTTCGAATCGATAGAAAACATTCGCAAAATCCTCGCGAAACATCTCATTTCCAGCGAGATCAAGGACTAAAGAAATAATGATTTCACTAATTCTTAGCGATTTTTTTAACCTTCTTAAAGTTTCCTGTGAAATCTCTCCCATGGAATCTCTTCGTATTTTCGCATTTCTCATGGGAAAAGCCTATCAGAATTCCTATGTCGTTCCTCAAAGGGACTGTGTGCAATACTGTATTTGACAAGATCAGTGACAAGTCAGAACAAGTGTTTGGTTCATCTTCTGTTGAGCTTGCACCAAAGCGCGCTGGCCGTTAGAAGATGCATCAGCACCCCGATACCGAGGATAAGTACCAGATTGTTGACCACGTTTACATCGTTGATCTCCATCTCGTTGAGAAACTTGCTGGGCCTCTTGTAGTGACAATAAAATTCTTCGCACAGCAAGTCCATCCTGTCATATCCGTATACGGTGTACAACAGACTGTGGAAACCCGCACGGAAATATGATATATGGAACATCCAGCGGAACACGTGCGGCGTGTCGAAGTAACGTATGCAGAAGCCGAAGATGGAGAACAGCACCGCAATTATCGGGCCAAGGAAGACGGCGATCTGCAAAGAATTATGAAATTCAATTTCTTTCTTCCTGCATACGTTTAAAAAGTTGAATATTTTAGTATGTAATCTAGTAATTCTCAATAAATCGGTCCATTGGATTTCGAAATGAGATTGTGCCAGAGATTATGCGAATAACGAGATTTAATTCTTAATTCATTGACTTAAACTAAAGTTAAAGCACTCGTGTACAAATCGGTTATTGAACACGCACATCCTCTTTTAAAAAACAAAGAAAAGAGATATAACGTAGCAGTTCAAAACTTTTATGCAATTTTGAAAAATTTCTCTTTGCTGAGTAATGTTTGTAAAAGATAAGCGAAAGCGCAATCTTCACGGCTCGCAACGATGATAAACTTAATGATGTGTATGCCCATAAAGAAAAATAAAACGTAAAAGAAGTTGAAAAGCAGAGTCAGCTTGGAATATTCAACAGCGCCGATGAATAGCAGAATCGCTCGCGGATCTGGGACTTAATTATCTGCATTGAGTAACTTCAGGTCCAAAATTGTATATGGACTACGGCAGTGTCACTTATAGGGAAGAAGGAATTCCGAGGAGATTCACCTTAATCGGCGTGGTGACGCCGATGAAGAAACCCCACGCTTGGGCCGTCAGGCTGGCAGCGATGCTGACTACCATGAAGAATATTATACGATTCGTTTCTATGGGCTGTCCGGTCAGCCAGTAGCTCACTACCAGATACGACGTCGCACATGCCGCTTGGAAGGGTATCTCGACCAGCAATATGCTGATATAATACGGCGCTAGCCGGTACCACCGATTGAAATGCTCCCTCATGAGAATCCGCATCTCCAGTGGGACTGAAACAAAAAGAGGCGTATAAATTGAAATTGAACACTCATTGAATACCAAGATAACATGACCTGAAGGATTTTGACTGATTGTGAGAAAACTGAATTTACGCCGATTACGATTAACTTAATCGAGTAATATAGTTAAAGCAATGGTTAAAACTTAATCGAGAGTAAAAATTAGTTAACTCTTATCGAGTAATACTCGCATCTGTACACTGTTTTGTTGATGTGGAATAATTCGAATAATTCTTTGTCATTTAACATGTGGAAAAAAAAAGATTACATTAGAGACGACGAATAATAATATAGTTAGAGAGAGAGAAAGAGAAGTTTTGCTTGAAGCAATTCTGCTGATTGAACATCGATTAAGTTAATCGGAATTTGATCGATGTCGTTTTAAAGACTCGGAAATAGAATATATAATGGGACGCATTTGCATGTTGCAAACGAAAAAATTTTAACAGAAAAAGAAAGAAAATCGTAGAGATAATTCACCATGTGAATAAACGAAATATTTAAATAAATTGTTCGTACGCGGGTTTTAATTTAATTCTCTACAGTTTTTTTTATAAATCAGCCAATTATCATTTATATCTATATTTAGCTAGCCTTATTTATTTTTATCCTAAGATATAATTTTCGCAAGATTTTTCGACAGAATTGCGCAAGATTCGTTGACGTATCGTTGTGAGACAATTTATTCGAGTTAACGGCCGTATATTGAGACATCCATCATTTATATCGTGATAATAAGTCACTAAATCATTTCCTCGATAAATTAGTCAAATGTGACGATATACTCAAATGTGCATTAAAACTTTAAACAGAGATATTACGTTATTATTCGCTCTTGACTCGAACCTGTTTTCCTCGAAAACGCTATAGGATGCACAGTCGCATCGGGTGATCGCTGTATGAAATTTAATCACAGCAGCTGTGGCAGAGATATTCGCGTTTCCTTGACCTACATCTCGAAGTAATGACAGCGCGGCACCGAGCGTTCACGAATATTACATGCTACTACTTGATGCAGCAACAGTGAAGATAATTATCGTCGACCAACTTTGCTGCATTTCGAAAGATAAGCGAGATTAGTGACGACAGTTCTGGACAACTATAATGATTGATGTTTTCAACAGCTAGCGAAACTCAATAATATATGACATACACACACACACACACACACACACACTCTCTCTCTCTCTCTCTCTCTCTCTTTCTTTATTTCTGCACGTATATACACATAAAGTTTTGGAAGTCAAATAGGCTCGGAGTGAAATTTGTTTCTACCACGGCAAATCATATATGAAATCATAAAATGAAGTAATGAAAGAAACGAGTGAAATCTGGCCTTCGATACCTATCATTCGATCTAGCACGCACGGCGTGGAAAGCTAACATAAAAACGGCTGGTTCTCGTTTAACGAAGTCAAGCTATTGCATGCTAACTTAGAAAACAAAAATTGCAGCAATTGGCAGGAACTATGCCCGTATCAAACTTACAATTACTTCTTCTTCCGAGAGAATTCACGAACGTAATACAATGCCAATATATGTGGTACACTCGATTTAAATAAACGCACGTTGTATTTATTTAGTGAAATCTGTCTTGATGAACAAAATTAATACAAAAGAAATAAAATGGGCCAATGAATCAAACTAGTTATTAGTAGATATGTATTGTCATTTAAATAAATATAAATAATGAAGTGTCACAAGTTTCGATCTGTAATAAGGTCATCTTCAGTGCGCTAATAATGTACAACTAGCTTGATTCATTAGCCCATTTTATTTCCTTTGTTTTTGATCTATTGAACTCCTTGAACTACCTTTAGTTTTAAAATTAATATAATTTCTGTAATAAAATCCTGCAAATTTGACAATAATCAAGGTAGTTGATGCGTCACGTGATTGTAATTGAAATATTAAATAAAGCTAAATCACGTGAAATTAATAAAAGTTAGATGAATTAACTGAAAACGTTAAATAAAAAATACGATTATGTGTTCTAGCATATAACGCACGTTGCAAACGCGTTTAATAATTCAATTTATACATATAAGTTAAACATTAGATATTGATAGATAGATAATTCAATGCTATCATTAATTTTAAGTTATATAACGTGTCTTTAAAAAAAAAAGAGATTTACATACTTCGTAGATCGCTAATAATCGCTTACGATGCTTACATTAATGATATGCGTAGAATACCAATGTGACTAATAGAGATCTGTTACTGTAACTAATGTGACTAATATACCAATATTTTCGTTTGATAAATTAAATTGTTATTTTCTTTTACCTGATATTAATCAGTTTATCGAAACTGAAAACCTCGATATGTTAAATATAGAACGTGACTCATTTTTTCACCATTATTTTATGTGAAGTGACGAAACGACAATTAAATTTGCATTTGCATTTGCCTACATGTATACGAAGCAGATGGATATATTTCTAAATATATTAATTAGTTTCTCGTATTTTTGTAAAGCATTGTGATTGAATATTTACATTCAAACGATGTTTAATAACTATAGATATAATTAGCTACTTACAGGCAAGAGTAACAGCCATTTTCCCGGTGTACACAAGAAGCAGCAACGATCCGTACAGATAAACGTAATTCGCTAAGACATTAGCTCGATAGCCGCTTCCCTTGTATAGATATCCGAACAATAAGCCGATTAGCAGATGACAAAGCAATCGCGCCATCAATAACGAGTAATCTCTTTTCAAGCTTAGTAGCTGCCTCTTGTAAAGAAGATAGCATTGCGTCAGGAAACCGGCGGGTGGTGGTGGTTCCTTGACTTTTTCCGCTAAAATAATACGTATAAATCAGTAAATACACGGAAAGAATACACGGTTTTGCTGAAATATCTAAAAACTTAACTAGATACAAATCTGAAAATATATAATTTTGTTGGACGCAATTAATTGCATACAAGGCAGTGAATTACCGAAGAGCTTCGAAAAACTTACGCGAGAAAATTTATCGAGTTAGTTTGTAAAACAACTGTATGAAATAACTGTGTGAAAAGAACGGTTTTGCTGAAATATTTAAAAATTCAGCTTGAAGCAGGTTTGAAAAAAAATTTATAGAACCATCAAGTTAATTATGTAGAATATGCATGCAAGCTGTTTCCTGGAATGTCAGAACTTTTTCAGCATTATTATCATGCACGAGCGTCCTGCGTAATTAATGTGATAATTCTACATAATTATTTTCTGTATCTAGCTAAATTTTTAAATTTTTCAGTAAAATTCTTTTCATTCTTTTCATATAATTATTGTTTTACAAACTAACTTGATAAATTTTTTCGCGTATAAGTTCTCGGAGCTCTTCGGTAATTTATTACCTATTACAGGAATGTTAATGTTAAAAATAAAAATACGGGTGTTTTTTGTAATACGTCCATTAGCAACTAGAGAAGGAAAGACGGAGAGAAGGAGAGAGAGAGAGAGAGAGAGAATAAGAAAGAGAGAGGTATAGGAAAAAGTCATTTTTTACATGTAACTTCTTCAGCCAAGTTTTTATAGTGTCTGTGTATAAAAACTTCTTGTTTAATATGAATAACACATGAGTTTAACTATAAAAATATTTATAGACCATCAAACAGTTTTAAACCGTTAAATATTCATGCAACTTTTGTAAGGAAATAATCGAGTATCTATTTAAAAAATATATAAAAATATTTTTTTCGACCAAGGTCAATTTGAAATGGGACTGTTATTATACATAAAATTATACTGTAATATCAACAAAAAAAACTATAAATCCTCTTAATAATAACAGATTTTTTTTTATTCGCGGCACATTTCATTTTTTCGTTGTAATATTTCGGAAAGCTCTTGAAAGCTTCTATGGGACCTGTTTGTACAACATTTATATTTACCCAAGAAACATACTTGCGCGAAACACCCTACAGCTCTACATAAATGACCCGAAAAATATTTTTTATCTGTTCGAGATCTAGTCAGGTTTAAAGTCAGGATCTGGTCAAGTAAAATAGAAAAAAAAGCGACCGTACCTTCCTCAGGCTGATCCGTGGTAAGAGCGACCGTCCTCTTCTGATCATTCGGTAGCGTTTCCGCCGCTGCCACCAGCTTATCGAGCGAAGTCCCGTATTCGCCGATCGCCACCTCGATGACTGAAACAAATTCAATTCGATTTTAAAGTCATTATTTCTAGACTTATGATTATATTCTGCTGTTGTGCAGAACGCTTTCAAAGTGAACGTTGACCGTTTCAACATCCACTGCGCACATATCGGTGTACTTGCAATCAACTTACTCAAGCCGTTACGAGTCGTTGACACACGCGATTGTTCTTACTTTGCTATCTTGATGCTTCGAGTAAAGAGCTTACAACAGATCAGATCCATAAATGGACGATGCTATCGGGAAAGATCTTTTTAGCGAATTATACTTAAACTGTACCGGCAATATCAAAAAAACTTTCTAGATTTTAAACTTAACTCGTTCTCCACCTTGCCTAATTTATTCGAGACTATATTACTACACACTTGTGTAGTGAGTCAACCCCGCTCTTGCGTCATCGCGCGATTTATAAAGACTTTTTTAGATACGATTTCGCGATTTCGGAGCGGACCACGGCACGGCCCACGGCGAAATACGACCTTGATCCGTTACCGCCGGTAATTTCTTATTCTGTTAGTTACACGTTCGCTTGTGAATCAGAAACTGTCAGTAAGCGACGTACGAGAGATATTTCAGGCCTTAAAATTGCCCTCAATTGTTGCAGCTGCAGCAGGTTTACGTACCGAAATCCGCTGGGTTGTGATAAGGCGGACAATGAGCGCCGACAGAGGCCAGGTGCGGTAACAACGAGCTGACCGGGCCTTTGTATATGCAGTAACCGCCAGCCACCACGTACAGGGTATCAAACATCTCCAGGAGCAAGGCACTCGGCTGATGAATCGTGCATATTACCGTACGCCTTTCTAATTCCGCCAATCGTTTCATGAGACCGACGCATTGGCTGCACGAAGAGGAATCCAGGCCTGGAAAGGTCAATAATTCCACGGTGTCCTACAAAGCGGCTAATACACATTCTGCGGAAAACGCGTATTTCGCAATCGCGATTGCCCGGCACGCAATGTATAAAGGCTCGGAATGGGGATTCAAGAGCGATCCCCTTGATATCCTCGCGTTGATATCTTTGCGTTATCACGGGACGGGGAGAGGGTGCCTCAACTGATGATGTTCAACAATATTATGCTCCCGCGATGATGCAATCCCGATGACAGATCTAAGATCTATCGTACAGGTGTAGCGTTAAGTAAGCGAGGCTGGAAATAGAATGAGGTAATCGGAAATACACATCTCGAATCGCGAGACAGGTTGTTGCGAGACCTCTGCCAGTTCGACTATCACGGCGCGGCATGATCATAACGTCGTAATTTTTTCTAGGGTAATTTGATACACGAGTACAATGACGCTTATTGTGAAATGTTAGATTGTCAGGTGATTATTAAGTGCATTATTTGCGACGCAATAATCGTTATTTGCGCCTCCGACTACGATCGGTAGCTTGATAGACAAAGACTTCTAGGTATCGAGCAGTCGCATTACCAGGTTCGTTAACTGTCAGCAACGAGATACAATTCCGCGATCGTCTGCATTAGTTTTAATTTATATATAAGGTGTTTTAGAGCTACCTAGATCGAACAAATAACTAATAAAGCTCATAAAATGGACAGCAAAGTCCAGACAAACACAAGTCCGCACGCTAATCATCTTCGGGTTCTTACGCTATAATGATTAGCTTCCGGGTTAATACACTGTATTTATTAAGATACCATGGTTGATTTTATACATTCTCTTTGGTCTATTACGTCTTGACATGTAATTTTGAAACATTCTCATATCGTTTTTATCTCATATAACGTTATTCTGTAACATTCATATCGTTAGCTAGCTATTACTATGTTTTATGAGCTTACAATATCATTTAACAGAAACGTTTGTTTAACGAAGTTACAGTACGTGTTTTATTTTCGAGCTACTTAAGTATTTTTTAAATACCATTTTGACGTCTCCTTAATTTCTTTCCAATGATTTTCTGCACCGAGACAGTTTTTATAATTGACCTCTGTTTCTTAATTTTACTTTTATCTATTGACTATTCAATCTTTTTATAATCACGTCAAAGCGCTATGTCCGTACGAAATCGTTCAAGAATTAATCAAATTTTGTATTTTAATTGTCTTTTAAATATACAATTTTTAAGAATTGCGCCAATCTGTAATGTATTACTCACCAGTCGTTGGTTCGTCGAGAAATAATACTGAAGGATTAGTTAGGAGTTCCAAGGCGATATCGAGCCGTTTCTTCTGTCCGCCGGACAACTTTCCGCATAACGTGTCATAGCAGTGGCTCAGCCCTAGCATTTCCAACAGCTCTAAAACCTGCGCGCGTATACATCGAGCGTGAATAGAATTAGAAGGCGGTTGGTGCGGCTGGGAACGTCCCAAGATAATGGGGCAATTCCATAAATCGTACGTGTCGCGAGGAAAATGGAGAGGAGAAGTTTATAAGAGATAGATCGAATTTTTTCCTCGCGCGCGAGACTGAACACAGGACCTTCGTGTTGCGTTTAAAGAAAAAGGAAGAATTCACAACGCGACAATTAAAATAGACGGTCAATTATCACGAACCTGAGAGTGTTTATAAGCAGAACTGATTGTGTAACCGAGCTTCAAATGAGCAGCTAACGTCATGGCTTCTCCCACGGTGATGAACGTTCTGAGAATGGAGTCCTGCTGTATGTAACACGACGTCCTCTTCCATCGTTCGCTTTGCGGTGATCGTACCTTACCGTTGACCCGAACTTCTCCGCTTACACCCTTTACCCTACGCATTGCCATCGATACATTCGTATTACGAACAATTATATTGTCAAAAAGAGAAATTATTAAATAGTACTCGCTGTTTTTTAGAAAAATATCGAAAGATTTAACGTTTGCACGGAAGAATGTATACGTTTCCATAAGTATATACTTGATAAGGCTGCGATTTGCCCTCACAAGTACAATGTGGCATTGAAGTCCCGCAATATTACTGACTATTTACGTAATTTCCTGCCCAGTAGATATTCTGCATTGAGATCTAATTGATATCATCTAATATCGTGCAACAATATTTAAAACGGAAATTATAGAAAGTGAATACCATGTAGCAATGAACAGTATGGAAGAACGATATGTAAGCGAGACGCTTTGAAAATAGAAAAGACGTAGAATAGATAATTGATTATTAGACGCTTAAGCGCACCGTAGGATAGTTAATTTTTTAGTTAATACACCGAGATATGCAATCAAGCAACAATTATCATCAGAAAAACTATCTGTTCTTTTCCACTCGACACAACTAGAGATATGCAACGTAATACGATCTGCGCATTTAGATTAATGCAGTTGAATTAATGTTTAATTCGAAATGTTAATTAATATTAACTCAAAAGCGGTAGACAAATATTTAACTATAGTTGATATCTTTTTTTCAACAAAAATACAAACAAACATATTAAGAATAAATAGATGTACGTAAAAACGCCTTAGTATTCGGAAAAATTGTTTGGTTTCAAGGAAGATACTTTATGGACTATCTATAAAACTATATGTTTTTGTCTTAAATAAAATTGCTTTTAATTTCAAGCTTTTTTTTAACAGAATAACACGTTTTCTCTTGTATTAAGGTGAGACCGTCCCAAAAAAACGAATACTTTGCGAAATTTTATATTTCTTCATACAAATTCCAATAGAAAATATGAAATATCTTATTTACTTCTAATTAATACCCTTATTTTAATATCTTCCAAATAAAATAACACGATCGGTAACCTTCTGTAACATCATATCGTAATGATACATTGTATGTGAATATATATTTTATGTAATAAACGATATTTGTAAAAAAAACTTTTTAATACACGAGTAGAATGTATGGCTTAATTGTGGTCATTATTAAATTATTATTGATATAAAACACATATAATAGATTTATACGAAAGTGTAAATAATATTTAAAAAAAAAAACAAGATCGTTTTATATGTATAAGCAATTCTCTTCCATCTACATCGTCATATATATATATTTTTTCGTCATATGCATAATAAGTAGAAAGCAAAATATGGATTATCGTCAATAATCAAATCTAATAGACGATTATTTTCGTCTATTATCGTTCGATCGCTCGATTAACGTTCATTTTCCATGATAAATAACTACGGTATATAATATCAAGGTCTCATTTGCATCAAGTAGTAAAATCAGTTTTTTCTGAAGCAAATAATATTGGCCGTATTTTGTGTAAGAAAAATCAAAAATACTTAACAATGTCTGAATTATGTATAATTCATCGGTATTATTAACTGCATGACACAAAATAGTTTTAAAATCCAGCATAAGTATTAGGTACACTGAAAAAAAAAATCTGGTTAAATTAATTGGACGTCTGATGGAAAATAAACGAACCAGATTTTTCCGATTAATGCAACCAGAAATTCCAATTAATGCAACCGGAATTCCTATTAATTTAAGATTATGGTACCAGATTGTGGTAGATCTATAACCATGCAGTATTTTCTGGTGGAAAATAAACAAACCAGATTTTTTTCAGTGTATAAGTGGAAATACCACAAATCAATTACAACGTGAAGAATCGTCGTTACGTAAAAAGGAAAAATTGCGAGGAAACTGTGAGAAACAAATAAAAAAAAAAAGAACTTATAATGCAAAAAAGATCCGATTAGACTCGCAACGACTCATCAAATACATTACTAATTTACGAGATATATATATACACGTTCTTGATTAACACCGCATAATTGATATTCGCGCACGTAACATACCGATTTCTGCGAGATTTGTTCTAATTTGTGTCCTTTTTCTTCTGCCGAAGGCGACAATAAAAGACGCGTTCTCTCGCACGAAAAAGAGTTTCCGCGTACATTAATACACGCGACAAAACGATGCTCGCCATCAAGCGAATTACAGGAAAAAAAAAAGACCTGATGCGAATCACACGATGCGTGCGTGTGTTCTACGTGAGCGAACTTATTAAGTAGCTCGGCTAGGACATTTAGTATTCCATGATAATGCTAAATTACGTCAAGAATATGTCTAGAAAAAACTCCACGTGCATGGAGCCATATCGTGAATCAATCTCGGTATCCTTCTCAGCCTACACGGAAAACTCACGGCGAATTGAGTTCAAGTTTCTCGCATTAATTAACTTGATATTGAATGTAATCGTTTCGTTATCTGATATCGCTCTCGAGTCCTAAACAGCCTACAGCGAATCAAATTCAAATTTTTCGCATTATTCAGTTCAGACACGCGTCTTCTAGCGTCTTCGCGTTTTACTAGCCGATCGTGTTCTGGCGACGAATCACGAATGGAGGAAAATTGCGAATTGGTTATTAGATATAGCCACTATCTGAAACTTTGTTTTCATAATGTAAATTCACCTATCGAGTCTCATTACAAGCACAAATGCAGTTCAATGCGCGTTATCTTGCCAAAGGTCAGGTTTCTACTGCGTATACGTCCGCGCATTATAATGATTAACCGCTCGTGAAATTCGCGTAAATCAAAATTAAAGAACGTGAAATGATAACACTTAAATCATTCAGAAAACATGTGACGGAATGCACAACAGGAAGTTGCGCATGTAGAAAGAGATCCGCGCGTGCGCGAAGGAGAAACAATTAAATTGCCGAAGTCGCGGATGATCCGCGGACGCGTTAATTTTAAAGTGTGTCAGAGAGGAACGAGTTCTCGATACTCACGTGAAACCGGCGAGAGCGTTCAGCAACGTCGATTTTCCGGCTCCGGATGGTCCCATTATAGCCACCAATTCGCCGGACTTGAATTCGCCGCTGACGCCGTGCAGAATTTCTTTCTCGCCTGTAACAAGACGCATATGTGATCGTTTTATTACGTGATTACGTCATTCAATGCGCGGTGATTCATTGTTAACTTCTGTTTCGCGCGCGGACGCGCGTTCCTGAGATAATAATCCCTCAACTTTAATAGCTGGAGCGTGCAAAAAAGGTGAAAAACAACGGTGAGCACACGTCGTTAGTTACGGAACATCGTAACGTTTAACGCGACTCTCTCGTTCATGTCGATCGTAAGATTTATATAATTGGTTATAGAGCTCGCCAAGCAACTGCTTCAAGGCTATCCTTAAAGTCATTGACTTTAGATCGCATCTTATTCGCGCGCAAATATAAGACATATGAGAACAGGTAATTAAAAAAAAAGCAATATACTTTGTACAAAGAAATAAAATCGGAAACATTACATCGGAGTTAGCCTCGCAAGTTACAAGTGCAATTTTATATTTCCTGAATCCCGCATAAGTACAAGAAGTATATGGTAATAATAGATCTATTTATGCGACGACCTTCTCTGGAGAAACTCAACTTTGATTTCTTAACTTATTACATTAAGATACTAGGATTTGCATAAGAGAATGCCGTTGTTCCCAGCTTAATGGATATGCAAGATTATCTGTAACACCTTGAGTGCCAACACATTACAATTGTCAATACCATGTGCAGGCATTAATATTCATCTTCAGAATTTTTACTAAGATTTTTATAAATATATGTAAAATACATCTTTCTTGTGCGCGAGAGATTAAATATCGAATTAAATTACTTCGTGAGAAACTTATTTATACGGTAATGTGTGATGCAGGTGGAGTTACAAAGAAATTTTGCCTCGTTCTCAATCTTAATCTGCCTTCGAATAGAAGACGAACGCGAGTGTAATTTGAAAGGAACTTTTCGCAGATCGTACTTATCTATCCACTTTTACAAAAACGCCGAGACTACATATGCGTATATAAGACAGGAAACTCACATAGGCGAATAGCACTTTTAGAGCGATTCGATTATTTCTGCCAACCTTGTGCATGCTCGTCCAAACAAACCTTGAACTGCTTTCACGATAAATTGATAACAGAACGTGCTCGTTAAAGCTAATCGCGTAGCAGCCGACGATCAGACCGTTGTGCGACATACTGGGGGGTGGAGGAGGGTGCGCGCGCGACAGCCTAGTGTGCCCCTTTTCCTCATGTTGTATGCTGTATGTCACCGAGAGAAAAAGAGAAAGAGAAGAGATGGGCGATATATTGAGTCTAATCGAGTTATAATTCTTCTTAATCATACTTTACGTAACGCGTCGCGCACAATGCCCGATCGCCGGAAGCGTTCTTTAAGCACGAGATAACATAATTGTTGTGTGCAGTTAACAATGAGACGCGAAGCTATGAACACGTGCGCGGGTCGAAGAAACGTGGAAACGAAATGCAGGAGGAAGACACGGATCCCGCTGAGAAAAGAAAGGAGCCGGAATTTGACACGAAATATCTTTGGGGAACGTTACTTTCCCTTATGGGGCGACCACGAATGCTTCAATCGCTTCACCTGGTCTTCCATTCCACGTGCGAGATGCAAGTGCGACGAGCGCATTCCGCGTGTTTAAAAGGAAGCGAAAAATCACATTGGATTCGACCGCTCTCCAGCCATGTTGAAACATGCTCGTGCTATTATAACATCTTGTATATATATACCGACAATGAGATCAAGCACAGAAATGGTATCCTACATATCGCATGACTAATCCTCTCATTCCGGAGCTTCGTATCTCGCGTTATTCACTGGCGAATTATGTGAATGTCACGGTACGCATCAATATAACTTCACCCGGAGGCTTTCTCTCTTACGTCGCCACGGTACTCCTCGATCGCGCGCTTTCGTAGGCAGATCTCTATTCACGTTCGAGCCTCGTTCGCACACCTGTCCGCTTTATATTTACATAGAATACGTGCACGCGTGATAAATTATACGCACGTCGATAATCCTCTCTTTCGCGCAAAACTGACAACAGTTCACCGATTTAAAGAGGAATCGAGGAAGCACAATTAACATGTAATAATAAATTTCGTGTATGAATCTTTCTTTAAATAACTTAACAAATATTTTCCTTTCACGCATATTTTTTTGCAGTAGAATGATTACGAGACGATGATGTTTCGTAGAATCGACCCTGCATCTGCAGTTTAAACGAAGGCACGTATTGTTGTACGTGGCATTGTCTGTGACGCACAACTTCCTTTCTCGGAACATGAATAATACAATAAATTCTTACAGCGGATGCGACACACACTCTTGAATTTTATACTCGATGTAAGTAATGGTACGTCCAATCGGGCAGACGCGGAAAGATACCGGATCGACGCTTACGCGACTCGAGCCGCGGTATATTCGCCGTCGTGTCCTCTTTTCGGTATACGAAGCGAAATCCATTTATCATTTGACGCGCATCTTTCAAGATAACGACAAACGTTGTATAACACATTTATCGTTAAATGCGGCGCAATTAACAAAAGCGCGAGAGACAATTAAAAAATATTTATATATATAAATATTTATATATAAATTTATCTAATTTAATATGTAGGGCAAGTATGCATCGTATCAATGTTATCGTTTACTCAATCTTATCTGCGTAGTATACTACATACTATTATGTTATGTATTACAATTGATTTTTATCTGTTAAAATCATTCATTAATCGTGTACAATGTGAGCACACGCAGAAATACATTTTTAAAACGTTCAGCGAATATTTGCTAAAGCGACGAACTCGCCGGCGCACACGCGGCTTACGTTACTTTCTTTCGTAATCCAAAACAATTGATGTGATTTACGAATTTCGAAAGAGCAATTATTTACATAAACTTAATATACGTGCGCCATCAATAATAGGATACGCATACGCATGCTATAAAGCGCTGTCACGCTTTACGACTCATTATGTAAAAGAGAAGAATTATGCAGCAATTTTTTTCCACCAAGATAAATGCCGCTATTAACGATAGCAAAACAGCTGATACCTCGCTATACATTAATTAATTAATTAGCATACGTAGTGAAACGCGCGTAGAAATATAGATTTAAAAGAAACCAGCCAAGTTAAATTGTTATTAATGTACTTGTCACTTGAGCAACCTGTCATTCAGGAACGATAGCATTATCGAAACGTAGAAATGAGATACGATCACATCGTTCTGTCGTCGGAGCGATATTTCAATTAAATGAATATATGAGCAGTGTGACACAATGAGGAAAAGTGATAATCAAATTATAATTCTAATATTAGCAGCCACATTTTTTCACAACGCAATGAATATCATTGATCTAGTTTTGAATGTGTATTGATTCTTTGATCCCCTCTCTCTCTCTCTCTCTCTCTCCCCCCCCCCCCCCTCCTCCCTCTCTCTCTCTTTTTCTCTGTCTCTATCTTTCTCTGTCTCTCTCTCTGTCTGTCTGTCTGTCTGCCTGTCTCAACATGTTTAATTTAATAAAAAAATTAATCAAAGGTTAAGTGTAAAACACATTTCGCTTTCTAAGAACGACGGCTGTTGTCTCATTAAACTGTTTTGCTTTCAATATTATATATATTTTTATATCGATATCCGATCATATATTGCGATATCTCTGAAACGCGCCGAGATACGCCGCGTCAACTTTTGTACGTTATATTTTCAAAAACGCGTCGCGATACTTTCTCCGTTTAAAACTTTCTTCGCGCATCGTATATAGCTACACGATACAAATACTTTCTCCTCAAGTACGTCACTAGCCCCGCAATATACGGTCATTAAAGCAATTGCAGCAATCGTCAAATTATTCTGTACGATCGATGTGTCTCTGCGTGTGTAACACGACATATGTATATTCGGATAATATTTTAAAGCAATTAAAACCATTTAAATATACTATAAGTGTGTTTTCACTTCAACCGTAACATTTACAACTTTTTCAAGGCTAAACGAAAACTCCTTGTCACCGTTGAGTAATTCACGAGCACCGTATAATTACAATCTGCTTTCACTTATGCGACTATCGTCTACGAGAATCTGAAGAAACTTATATTATAACAACTTGTCACGTTCGTCAAATTTCAAATTCATTATCGGATTTCGCAAAATATATAATACTGTATTACATATTTTAGGAAACCGTAGGGATACATTGACTCATAATGTTTAACAAAATTCTTTTAAAAATTGCAAATTGTACCCACGAAATTAATTTTGTAACGATCGCGCAGAAAATGCAAGTGCAAAATAATTAACCGATATTGACCTGAAATGCTAAGGCTGTGAGAAGTGTAAGTGCAATCTTTAGTTTATGGCGCGCTGATAACCCAAGGAGCAAACGATAATGCGGAAAAAGTATGTCATAGAAAAGGATGTTAGAAATGGAAATGACAGAGAAAAATAACACTGAAGAATGTTGTATATGGAACTAAAATGTCGCACAGTTATATTAATATACATGCCGGATATCCGGTAATTGGTATATACAAGTTTGATAAGTGAGAGTCACAAGATTCAGTTAAAGTCATAAAATTATTTGATAATAAAAAAAGTGACATTATACGTTCTCTTAATTGATTACGCGGCTCGTAAATCATCAACGCGTCTCCGTTTCTTTTTTCCTTCTGGATTTTCCCCGAGAAATGTTGTCACGTATGAAGTGCACGTCACAAAGACGCTCATCAACAAAGCTTGCCGCCACTTGTAAAGTCGCGAGTAGGATGTGACCCCCGGGCGTCGTCGCGTTATTGTTATATTAATACTTTCTTTTTTTGCTTTCTGACGTACTTACGGATCGAGAAGTTGCGTATGCTCCATTCCTTGACGCGGTAGCGTATGTCGCGGAAGGACAGGTCGACCTGGGGCCTTTTCGGGAAGGAGTGCTTCTCCCGCTGGAGGAAATAATTGTTGTTGCCGATGATAGCCGGTCCTCGCATGTCGTCCTGGCTGCTGCGGTCGAACTGGCAGCAACTCAGCGACGACCGCGACGGCGAGCAGTGGGTCGTCGGAGTGGTCATGGCGAATGGAGATAACGAGGATGATTCAAAACGTCAAGCTCGCTCGCGTGCACACGACAATAAAAATTGAAGAGGAAACGTCACGGGGTCTCGGGTATCATTCGGTCGCGTTTCAGCGCGCACGTCCGTTTCACTGCACTTTCTTTCAAATCTTCTTCGTTCGTCGACGAAAAATTTTGTCGCTTTTCGCTGACGCTGCGCGTTCACGATGACTCCCGCCCTCGCATACCTTATTAGTTCAATCTGAAACAATAAATCAGGAGGAGCCCGTCAAAATAAATTGCAAATTAAGATTTATATAATTATAGCAATCGTCTGTCAAAATATCGTTTGTATGCGAAAGATAATGATAACCGTTCCTGACCGAGTAAACAATAATACGCGCATAAAAAAGAGCCCGGCACGCTAAAAAAAAAAGTTGCGGGCGGTATCGCTAGATATAGATGTGGTGAGGCAACTTTTAGCGCGGCGAAAAAAAATATGCGGCCTTATGGAGCCTGAAATTAATTCGCGAAGTCATCAGAAAACAGGTTCGCGCGAAACACATATTAATTACCACGACGTAATCACGACCGCGCTAGACAATTTTTGTTATCTCGGTTAACTATTGACCTCCACCGTATTATAAACGTGACGCCCCGTTTATTTCATTATCATTATACTGCCATAAATCTCTCCTTCGGGGGGAAAAACGCTCTCGTAGAGATGTAAAACATTATGTCGAACATTCGTTATCTTCTTATTAAAAATTTCACATGCAAAAATTCCACATTGTGATATGCAATATGCGTACGCGACAATTTGATACGCGCAACTCGATATTTAAGTCGACCTTACATTGTTGTCTGCGAACGAGGGATTACTAATTACATATTGCGACTATAACGAGCGAGTATAATCATGAAAGACTGGGTAAATGCAAAGTCGAAGGATAATTGTGCAAAAAAAAGCGCCGACTTGCTCAATCGGACTATCACAGTCCGACTGAATATTTTGCGTTGAGGGAGTGGCGCGCGTTACGGGGGAAACCCACTGTCCTTTAAAAAACAAGGAGAAGATACCGAATTGTTTGCGCGCTTTATAAGGTCGGTCGTCAACATCGATCGTCGAACACAGCCGTGACGGAATTTTTTCGGACTTCGTTACCCCGCGATACAAAGAAGCAGAGTTATTGGGCCTCCGACATCAGCTACGAAAATAGAATTCGTTCGGTGGGCCAAGAAAGCGGTTCCTCCGCGCTCCGATTTGCAAATCGGTTGAGAATTAATCTAATCTGCTTTGCAAGATTAAGGAACGAACCCATCCGTAAATCAAATGAGCGGTTTGAGTTTTCGAGGCGTAGATAATAAAATTTCGTTTCTTCTGAATTTTACGAGCAGTTTAAGAGTCTTTCTGACGATGTTTGCGGGGCGCTCGGGTGGAAAAGACATAAAATTTCTTTTTTTTTTCTGTGAATCTTACGAACAATTTTTTAAGAGCCTTTTATGAAAATATTTTCGCAAATTCTTTAATCAAACGCTTCTCAAAAATATTTTTCGCCTATCAACTCGTTTCAAGGAAATAAAATTGTTGTAACAATAAATTTTTACGCCTATTTTTACGCGAAGTCTCTTGGTCTAATTAACATTCCGTTTCTAATAGTCTCTTAAATTACTTATATTACTATTTTTAATGCTTCTCGAGATAATTATAATTAATAAGCTTCTTCTTTATTATTCCTAGTTTTCTGTGAGATCAAGATTTAACCTTTATAAGAGATATAATGTGAGATATGAAAAAGAGAGAGGAAGAAAAACAAAGATCGATGGTAATTGTAAATCCGGAGGGTGAAGTTAATTTAATCTATTAATCAATAATAATAATAAACTGAATAGATTAAAAAGCGAAAGGCATGGCATATGGTATATAATATGTATATAACTATGCTTGACTGACCATTTGCATTTCAGATGATCGCGTTAAATATTCCGTTGTTTTGCACGCTAAATATGTGTCTGCGAGTAAATAAATTAAAATAATTAATGTAAATTTCCGTCGACGAAGATCATCAAGGTTACTAAATAGTCTTGCTAATCTGAAAAAATTAAATGTTGCTCGTAAATTAAATTGCGGCGATTAATATGAGCATAATTTCGCAAAATTATGTTCATCTGCAATCAGACACTTTATTGCATGACCTATGCAGAACGTTATGAACCCGGGAAAAAAAACAGAGCGACACAATTATAACGCGAGTTTTTATTCGATAAACAAAACGCGATTTTAAAATTAACTGGAAAACACAAACGTATGCCAATTTGTCAAACCGATAAAACCGATCAAACTCCAACAAATGATTATACGTATCTATACGTGGAAGAAGTTAGATTCATCGCAACTTGCCTATGATTATAAATAAATTATTTTTTCAATATAATATGGAGATATTTTCTTTTATAAATAAATAAATTTCATCTATATACGAGTTGATAAATAAAATACAATAAAAGTGTCGATAATATAACAATAAAATATTTATTAAAAAAACGGAAAAAATCTCTGATAATAATTTTAATAAAAGTACAAGAATCAAGTTATGCAGTGGCCATTATTGCAGCACGACGAGATTCTACGTTTTTACAATTTACATAAATTTTAAAAACACGAAATGACATAAGTACGTTTCATAAGATAATCTTCAGCCACGTCTTTAATTCGTCACCCTATGCCGGGGATTATCAGGTATACAGCTAAGCTAACACAAAGCACTCACGACATCGGCGAATTTATTGCAAATAGCGCGGTGAAGTAAATCTATTTTACGTAATAACATCCGGCACGCATAAGAGCTTTTAGCGCAACATCCACGCGGCCAATGACTGACGGAGACAAAGGTCGAGAAGCAATGAAGCAAAATCGCGGTCGTACACACATTCGTGTGTACTTAACATAATCGCACGAGTGTGCTCTAAATCTTACTGCGGGGAAGCCGTATCTCGCGAGGACACGAAATATACACAGCTTTCGCGGTTTCCAAGGTCATCCGCGTCACGACGATAAGCCCCGTCGTGTGTCACTCATTGTCAGCGAAACCACACGACAATGGTAACATTATTACCTTTAATATCAAGATCGGACTTTGAAAGTGATGAGGCGTAACGCGCATCTCGCTTCGAGGAATTTTGTTTACGACGCAATAACGATTCGATTTCTCGGAGATTGCCGTATCATGCTAATAACACCGGAGAGCCTGCAGTTGCGGCAGGTCGTTCACCAATGAATTCATGTCCATCACGGCCTGGTTAAATACCCAGCATTAATTTTTCGACAGCAAATTATGGGCCTGCGAAATCCCGCGGAACTTGATTTAAAATTAATGAAACGGAACTATCAGGAATTATCATATATTACAATATTTCAGAAATTTGTCGGGCATATATGTATATATATATATTTTTTTAATTAAATCGCTACAACATCGATAAAAAATGTATTCGTTTAGCTATGTATTTGTTTATTCGTTTCTCGACGCGTCCGTAAATTAATACATTGCCGGCAAACACGGCGTTTATCCGTAAATATGTACGTGTAATAATCCGGTATTTTCGCGCAAATTGCAATTCCACGGCATGGCGAGACTTACGTAAAGACCGCGCGCGGCTTCCTTCCATTATTCAAACAGCATGATTCGAGGATTCTCACGCGATTGTTGTACCTCAAGGTAACGAGAACCTATATCTATCAACCGATTATAATAATAATCGTAAACCGATTATACCGTGCGACACCTTCTTCTCATTATTCATTCATGAAAAGCGAAAGATTTATATATTCTCGTAAATGTTTTGCATAATTTTTACCGGCGACTCTATCAGCGACACGGACTTAATACGCGCGATTAAAAAATAATCACGATAAAATTAGACATCGGCAACCTAATCGCACAAATCGTACGTCGCTGCAATTTAAAAAAAAAAACGGACATTTCCTTCGAGACGAGATTTCATCTTGTCCACCGCTAATAGACCAATCGTTGTCAATTTCCTACAGAGAGATTGATGACGGGGTGACGGTTGTAAATTAGCATACGTGCGAGCCAACGCCGCAGGACAAAAATAGCGGATTGGCGCGCGGACAGGAATGTTTCGGCTTACATTGGCCTTCCGTTACATTCACATTGATTTTAAGTTCAACGAGCCGCGAATTTTATTACTACAACTTTTACTTTTACTCCGACCGTGAGCCCGCGAGTTCCCGAACCGCGCGATTATGCATCCGGCATAATGCGAGACTGGTTGGCGATCGGTAGACTCAAACGTGTCGACAAACGTGTATCTCGCGTAATTTGTCAACCCGCGTCTTCGAGCGCAGAAAGAGAGAAAGAAAAAAGGCGGATATTTGTTTCCGAATCGTTTGTCAAAGAGTCACACACAAAATCCGGGCGCTCGCGTTTTTATTTTTCTTATCTGTGGCTGCGAATTATTTATTTGCAGTCGGGCGCATGGATCAAGAAGTCATTAACGTACTTAATAGATTATATCATTGCGATTCATTATGAATTCGACGTGTGTGTGTGTGTGTGTGTGAAAGTAGTTATTATCGTTGCGCAAAAGACTGAATCACTATCGTTATTATTTATACGATTACGAAAATGATGCAACGTATATATTATACACGCCATCAACGAAATCGTGTTTACTTAACGAGTAAATTTTTTAAATGCGCGAACTTGATAAAAAAATTGTGAATGTCACGTAAATTTGGATAAATGTATAATTTTAACTCTCCGATACTTTAAAATGAGATAACAAGAGATTAATAGAATTTACTCTCTCATTTAAAATTTTTTATTGAACCGTCGAAATAATGTTAAAATTATAATTTTAACAGTTAATTTAAAAATATAATTTTAACTCCCCGATATTCTAAAATAAAATAACAAAAGATTAATAGTATTTACTCTCATTTATATAAACGTTTTATTGAACGCTCCAAATAATTGCCAGAAAAGAACTAAAGTACTTCTGGAGAAAATGTAACTGTTGATTGGAAATTATACAGTCTCCCGAGAATTTTCCATTTCACGCGATATTAGAAAGAAGAATTTTAATATTTGTTGCGAGAAACTCTCTTCATAAACCGATAAAATCTTTGAACGATTTATCATGAGAAACGTTGTCTCGAATCCGAACGTGAAGATAGTATATGTACATCGCGCGATGTTTGCTACAATTACTATTATTGTTGGTTGTAAGAGGAAAAAACATGCTTCTCGTGATCGAGTATAATCAATCAATTAATGCGTGCATTAATAACTCGACTGATTTACAGAAAATGTAGAGAACATTACACGAGTTAATTACAGCAAAAAGCCGATCCATTCAACGGGGGGAAAAAAAAGCAGAACGTACAAGTATAAAACTTTATAAAATGCTCTTATCGTCTCGCGATAGCTACGAAGGCTACCGCATGCCATTAAAAGCGCGGATAATACGAAGCGCGTTCTGTTTCACATCGTCACGATTACAATTGTTAATTGTTTGACAGTAAAAATGCGCGAGAGTAAAAAAAAAAAAACTACCAAGAAAGCAGAATAGTCCTTGCTTCTGCTTCTGTAACTTAATGACACAGCGGCTTTAAGAAATCGGGCCTCTTAAGATCAATCCAGACAAACTTGCATAGCGCATAAACATAAGCATAAGAGACGTGTGTGGTCCATATGCATGTGCATAAGGAAATAGATCACGCCGTTTCTTTATGCATATGGTTATGACGCATCTATGCAAGTTTGTCTGGATAGATCTTTATAACTCCATTTTTTTTTTTTTACATAAAACAATATATCGCGTGAGAATACACCGAATAATAGGAACGATAGGCCGAATCGATGGTTCGTTGAGCGTCGTCGAAGAAACTTTTGCGCCTCGAAGGAGGCACGGAAGCGCGACGGAATATTAGCGTATAAGTGAAGGAGGAAGCGGAGTCACGTCGGAGACGTGGAAGTCGGCGCGAATAAGCGCGGCGGGACCGTACGTCCTACTTTCACAAAATAATGCACAGGTACGTGCTTCTCGTACGTCTCTCGGCATACATTTCGATTGTGTATTCCGGACGTTTTGTCAAAAGCGTCATCCGCGGTAGAGTTAACGTCGCGGGTCGCCGTTAAGTTTTACGACCGCGCGCTGGCGTGACGTGACGCCCGCGTGACGGACGGCCGCGAGGAGCCCCACCGACGCGCGACGATCCATATTTCATTCGTAAATTATGTTTTTACGCCGCTGTGCGAGAGAAACCTTGCGGTATCCCGTTAAAGCGAGGGGAAATAGCGAGGTCGAGGCGACGCCTCCAAACCCGTTCGCGATCGAGAATCGAGAATATCGAGACGCGGATTTGCAGATCGAAAGGCGGAAGCGAGTTTCCCCTTTTCCTTCCCTTTTCTTTTTTCCTGTCTCTCTCTCTCTCTCTCTCTCTTTTTCTTCCTGTATACCGGTTCGCGGCGCGACACTGAAAAACGCGTATCAGAAAATAATTTTTGATAATTTAATTTACCGTCGGCACCGCAACGATTTCACGGTCGCGATCGATCTAACCTTGTTGATTTAACGGGACGGGCAAGGGCATCGAGGAGGCAGAATAATTATGAACGTTCACGAGCTGAAATGCCTGCATTGCCTGCAATTGCGGGAATGACGAACGACGACTTACCACCGCGGCTTCGCTAGAAACTGCGCTGCGGCCGGATCGTTCTAACGGTAATATCCGGGGAATCGTTTGGAGCCGGGAGCGAGGAGCGCGACCTCCGACGCGACGCTTCCTAGCTGAGTCTCGTACCTGCGACCACAGCTGTCAAGTTCGTTCGCGAGACACGACTACCGTACGCGACTCGACTTCTTCGAATCCTTCGGGGCCTACGTGCCCCGTGACGCGTAAACGTCGAGCATAAGGGGGATGAAACTTTCGACGCGACCGCTAGGAGAACGCGCGCAGTTTCCGTTATAAGAATCGCTCGTCGGAAGCGTGGAATTGAGCGAGCGACGTGGCCGTTTTCGCAATTGAATCGGGGACGCGGCCGAGATTATAAATTCCGTAAATCATTTCCGGCACGCGTATTGAATACAAAGGCATACATTAAAAGCGATCGCGGCTCCGTAAAGCGCGTGACGCAACGGAGGCGTGCCAAATGGAAAATTATTTTCTGAAATCAATTGTGTGAATCTCTCAATTGTGTGAATGCACATATATGTCACATGTATGTTACGTATGTGTGCGTTATATATGTTCATAAATATATTCGTAAATAAAATTATATATCAAAATATGTATTTATATATATTACAATTATATTATATATTATGTTTATAAATGTATATATATTATTCTACACACACACAGACACACATATATACATTTTATACATTTATAAACATTTATATAAATATTATATAAAATAGTTATATTATATTTATTTTGGCTATAAAAAATGCACATAAATGCGTTTTATCTATACATATACTATAAATATGAGAGACATATAACTTTCTTTGTTTCACAAAACCGACAGAAAGCATCTCGACACACTTCGGAGGACGCACACAAGAACTGTCACGTACTATCCAGCGGCCGGCGGACGTATATATACATCGGTACGTGTCGCGGGTCGCGGGACGATCGATACAGTGCGAGTTGCCCGATTACGCAGCCGGGGGCAGAAAATAGATAGAAGACACATTTACGTACTGGTATACGAGCACGGCAAAAAAGCGTTGGAGCAAAAGCGGCTTTTTAAAGGCCGTGGGCCGGGAAGGGCAGCGCACCGGCGGCCCAGTGGAGTGGAGGTTCCGTTTGTACTATCGGCTGCAACGGGGGAGCAACGTGACCATCATAGCCGAAAGCTCGCCGACGACTAGTGCCTCGTGCCTCGTGCACAACTGACAAGTCTGGCAACTGGCGCGGCGTTGCGGGTTGCCAGTTGTGGCGTTTCGCTTTCGCGCCGCCCGCGCCGCGCCGAGTCGCCGAGCCGCGCGGAGCGGACGAGCGGATCTCTCCGCGCATCGTGTGGCTCGCTCTGGACAGTCTTGACATTAGAGGCCGATCCCCACTGATTATCCCCACGCCGATTAACTTCCGACGTAGATTGCCCTTACAGAAAAATTCAATACTGTAAGCGATTATTTGGCTACTGATTAATTACTTATTTTGGGCATTTTGAATATTAAAAGCATTAAAAAAAACAATCCTTAAATTTTATTACTCAAAATAAGTAATTAATCACTAATTGTAAGCCAAATACTCACAGTATTTAAATTTCTGTAAGGGTATAAGGAGCGACTTTTCGACCGAGCTTCGATTAACTTAAATCTAATTCGACTCGAATGTTCCAAACTGCATTGCATGGAATTTTAGCGAATCCAATCTGTTCTGTCGAATACCGATCTCACGCGATAAGGAAATTGATAATATCACGTGCGCTAATAAAACAGTACAGGTATATATCGCTCGATACGTTTAATATCGAGGTCACCCTAAACTGGCGTTTTCCCTGGGAAAACCAATCGTGATAGGCCCTCGTTTTTCACAACGCGGTTTTCTACTCGCGTTCGCGGCAAACCTCGTATTACGTGGTAAATTACTTCCATACGAGCGCGGTGCTTTTTTTTTCAAGATATGGACGATTAGTGCAATTCCGCACAATTGTAAGATACCGTTGCAGCAACGTCAGCTTTATATCTCCGATCTTTGCGGTAGAATTACTTCTACAACACGAGTCCTATCTCTCGTCGATAATTTTAAGTTAAATTTTTAATTTAAACTGACCCAGGGCAGAGTGACATATTAATGACGTATTGATAACATCTCTATCGTCAATAACACGCCATTAAGACGCCTTTGGACGTCTCCTGCTACCTGGGAAAGGTTTAAATTTATGTTCAAAATTTCAAGTTTTAAATTTTGAATTTGAATTCTTCGTGTCTTATAATCACTCCTCATTAACATTAAGATTTATCGCGAATGCGATAAGATATTTTAAGCTCGCTTTAACACGAAATACAAATAATTTCTCGATATAAAAGTTACATTTGTAATAAAGTCGCATAAAATACACAAAACACACACGAGGACGGCTCGTTAAAAATGCCGAAACACCCGAAAAGTTAGCTCATAAATATCTCGACGTCCTAAACTACTAAATCGACTTTTATTTCATTTTTTTTATATCGACAAGAACTTATCCCTATATCTCTGATAAATCCAATGTCTTACACGATCGCGTCCACGGAATCGCACGAATAACATTATCTACGTATAGATTTATCATGCGGGAATTTGCGGCGGGGTATATGCAACGGATATGTATTTACGGATATGAAATTAAGCGAGCGAGAGACAGAGCGAGAAAGAGATAATGGGAGAGAAGGGCTCGAAGCCGAGCGCCCCGATTATCCTCCGCCTTAAATTTCGCTTTCGTTATTTTGCCTTCTAGAACGGCGAGTATAATTTCGCTTAATTTGCCGCGAGCGATAACGTTGTCGACTCGCGCACGCACACGCGACACGCGGCTTGTACACACGTACACACGGCGACTCACTCGGAATGCCGGACGATTACACGCGAGAAGTTCAAGTCGACATAAATGTCTTGACGTTTAATTAAGCGGTTTTTACGTTAGTCTAATCCCCTCGGACATTTATTCGCCTATTTTGCGGGCACGTTACACATCATCTTCTTTCTTTCTCTTTCGAATTCAGAATCCGGTACGACCGCGCCTCTTGATATACGAGCCGATAGAAGCGCGCCACTCCTGTAAAGCGACACAAAGACAAGTGTCCGGCAAGAGATTTGGAGACGAAAGAAAAAAAGAGTCTTGGAACTCCGCCAACGTCTCGGCGATGTTGTTCGGGCGATGGCGCCCCGTCCTTGAACATCCTCGATCGAAACGAGACGTTTCGATTAGCCGATGCGATAAGTAAGTTTTCCGCGCGGTTTCTTATCGGGATTGAACCTCGGAAAATAACCGATGATCTGCGAATGGCTCTCCGTACGTTCAACCTTATCACGGACGCAACATTGTCCAGAAAAACCGGCTCTTCGTGCGCTAACGAGGACGCAAACAAGGACATTTTTTCCCTCACATCTTTATTCCTTTCCTTCCTCCTTTTTTTTTTATAGGTTTCCGTATCCCGAGATATAATACATACTCACCGAGGCCAGCCTTCCCTTCCTTCTTTTTTTTCTGCTCTGAAGACAGATTGTTTCGTGTCTAAAATTTGATGTGGATCGGATGCGGATGAAAGAAATACTTTCAAGTATACTCAAGCCTGAACGAAACGTATTCGAACCCTCTACGAGTACTTCGAACCTGGATCAAACATGTTCGAATCTTTAATGAGTACTTTACTAAAAATGTTAGGTGTAAAATATAATGTGTATATATATACACACACAAATATCCCAGTAAACACCAAGAAAACATGCTAGCTATAATTTTCTCAAGAATGTAAATGCAATATAACACATATGTGCTATATATTATATGTTACTTGGTGTTTGCTGGGGGGAGATCTCTCTCTTCGTTACAATTTTATATAATGACTTATATATTATAACGTAATATATTCAAGTATTACTTGTAAAAGATTCGATTCTTTAGAAATTGCTTATAAAGTACATTTTGAATCATGCAGGTAATCGATTTGAAATTCGAAACTAACTAATCGGGGATTAGTTTGCAAGTACAAATGTATGAAAGATTATTCCTTGAATAAATATTACTCGAATCCTAGAAATAAAACTTGATTATTGAATTTGACCTGGATTTCTAAGTTCTTATTGAGCTTGACTCCCTCCCCCCACTGGTACGCAACGACGATACGACACACGGATAAGCAATGTAATTCCGTATCCATCCTGATAGATATTTCTTATCGCGGCAAAACATCGCCGTTCTTCTCTTCTCTTAAGTGGTTTCACTAGCAGTGGGATAACAATCGGTCTTCGGTTATATCTCTGTTTGATTCCAGGCTGTGGTCCACTTAGCTCTTTCGAATCTTTCGAAATGTTTGATTGAGACCAGTGATGCACCTGTCGCACTTAAATGGATCGGAGAGTCTCTGTAACACATTTTTTTTTATATTAACGAAATTTCTCATAACTCGTGTGGCAACTAGAAATCGTACCTGAGAGTCTCTCCATTCGCGACTGCTCCCTTTCTAAAAGCTTCAGGCCGTTCCAGCGATATAACGAGTGATCGTTATATCGCGAAATTGTGCTTCTCGATATCATATGTCGGCTTTCGTTTTTATCTCGTTCTTATCGCTTATATACTGACGGGAAATTGACCTTAACACAAAGTACAGAGTTTATTTCTGCTTTCGGTTATTTTCCTCTCTCGGGGATTAAATACGAAATAATTATAGAAACGGCAAACGTAGCCGTACAGGAGTCCCCCTCGAATGCCCAAGCTTTAGCTTCATTAAAATGTCAATAGCTGCTGCCGAGTATCTATCGCTAATAGCGGATTGCAAATTTGTTAAAGAAATCTCTCGAACGCTATTTGCACTGACGTAATTATTCGTTATCGCTCATTAATATTCATACCTACTTCTTCTGATTGTGTCGATTTGATGCATCTTATTCAGATTCTGAAATCTACTTCACTCGAGATCGTCGGTACAACGGACAAAATGTAAATTGGCGACAACTAATAAGCTAATCGTGCGGTCGTCGAATTTCACCATTTAAATTTCACATATAAAGAAATTGCAACGACATTTGTATGTAAAATACGTTTCTTTTTTCTTAATTTGCATCATATCTCATAATTTAATCAGCAAAATAAATAAGCAAAATCTTTCGGCGAAGTTTTATTGGAGTATAAATGTTACTTTTTTAGTTATAATTTATTCAATTCTGATCCTCGCGAATAGACGTTCGTGAAATGTTGCACAGACGTGCATCGAATAAATATTTATCGAAAATATATCCTGTCTATAAAAAGTAAAATAATATTGTGCATTTAAAACTCAAACGCGCGTATATTTGTTACCGCATACATGTACATTACAAACATAACATTTGATTATTCAACGAGTTTTTATTATTGCTCCGCACCTTTAACGCTTTCTGC